ACAGACATTGTCCCGTCTGTCACAATGCAACGAAAATCTACTGCTGGAATTTTTCCAGCCAGCTCCCCCTCTTTGATTTCTCTGGCATCGAAGGAGAAAATCTTCTCCGAAGCTGTTCCTGGCATCAATACAATCCTAAAGGCAGAACGTAATTGTAATTAATGAACGAAAATTTAAAAATTACAACTGAAAAAAAGGGTGGAAATGTTGGTGTAAGAATATAAAGGTATCGACAAATTCGTAATTGTTAAATCAACAGACACGGGTATGATCTATCTTCAAACTCTATCAAAATTCACGGAAAAAAAAGATGGATAAAGTCGGGGGGATTTTCTCCATCCAAAATTAATACCGTTCCATTTTCAACGTATTATCTGTCTGACGCGAATTATTCATCGGATAACCCGTCTCAGACGGATAATAATCCGTCCCTAGTGTGAATATGACCATTTCTAAGTATAACTTTAGTCGAGTCAATGATATTTTACTTCAGTTCTTTGTTTTAATATTGTTAGTTTATGGATTCTTGGCAATTTATCTATGGGGAATAAAAACCATGAGGAGGCTCCGTGGATAGGCTAAATGGCGAGAACTAGGTATTGTTATCAATCGTTTATCTACAGTCCCACTTACCTTGCTCCAACTATTACTGGTGTCACAGAAGACACCAGCTGTAGGGACAGCAGGTGGAGTTGGCCTCCTTCGACAGACAGAATTCCTCTCCACCTGTTTCCGTTAGGGCAGCGATATTCGGTGCTTGCTCCGGATTGAGTTTGGGTTTTTAAACCACTTGTTTTCCAGCAGAAGGAGAACACATTCTCCTCCTCCAGAAACCAAGCTGGTTTGGGTCTCTGCAGAAAAGGGAAAGATAATATTAAATTTCTTTCAGTAATAATGGCAACCTATGCAGCAAACTATTTGGTTCGAGGATTGTCTTTTGAAGTCTTTAAAATACTTCCTAGGTTAAGATTGTACACAATATATAAAGGCGCAATCACTATTTCTTCTTTTTTAACAATCAACACACGAATAAAATATTGTTGGTGTTACAGTAATTCTTGTTTATATACGTGCTTCTTTGCAGTCTTTAATGTTTGTATTTGTATAATTATAAGCTAGATTTGTACCGAACCTTAAAGTGCATCACACCCCGTAGTTTTTGCACTTCTCCCGTCTGAAGCACGGAATGTGTGGCTGCGGCGGTAAAGATGTGTTCTTCGGTGTCTTTTCTCTTTGTGATGGCCTTGCAGCCTGTGACTGTGCACTGCACTGCCTTTTCGGAACACTCGCTCAAATGAAGCGTCAGGTGACATCTATGAAAACATAGAAGTTAAAAATGTAAGGTTACGTCGGCTAACACCTTCCATGTTGGTAACAAACTTTTCACCAACTAGCTGGATTTTACCAAAAATAATTATTCCTCGAGCCCTCATGGCTATTGCTATCGCTATTGCCTCAGAGCCCATCCGAGCTCGAGG